AGTCCGTCCCGGGTCGCCTCAGGAAGAACCGGAGCGTCGCCCCCCCCTCCCCCGTTCCCTCGCCCGTTCGTTTGCTCGCTCGCTGACTCCCTGCGGGGAGGCATCATGGAGACCTCCGGCGGGGGCGGGGGCAGCAACGTGCCCGCCTTCCTCACCAAGCTGTGGACGCTGGTGGAGGATCCCGAGACCGACCCGCTCATCTGCTGGAGCCCGGTAAGGGGAACGGGAGCCCGGCCCCGACCCTCGGCCCCGCTCGTGGCCCCGCGGGTAACCTCTGGAACCCCCGCGGCGGCTTCCTCAGGGAGTGTGTGTCCGGGGAGGGCGCCTCTTGGGCGAAGGGGAGGCCCCCGGGGGTCATAAAGTGTATTTTTTAAAGAGACGTGGGGGGGGGGACGACGACGGCTACCCAGGTTCCCTTATATACAGTATGATGCAGCCCTTGTTTAATATTTTTTTTCCTTGACCTTTCAGAGTGGGATATGAAAGTCCGTATGTAGGTATGAACAACAGACCCTTGGATGAAAGAAAGAAGCCTCTCTTTTCAGAGAAGGGATGACTTTACCCCATAAAAAATGGCCTTTCTATGCAAATTGGGGGGGGGGACGTTGTCGCAGGTTGCCTGAGTCACCACTCAGAAAAGGTTCGGGGTCACTGTATGCTAGCTAGGAGATTTTGGCAGTTGCAGGTTAAGGGGGAGGGGAAGCAACTTTTTCAAGGTCTGAAACTGGAAGGGAGACTTTCTGCTGAAGCAAACTCTTGGGCAGTGCCGTGTTCTGGAATGAAGCCTTAAAGCTTTGGACAAAGTTCCTCCTCTTGCTTCTGTGCCAATGTTTGAGGATAGTAAAGAGTTCTGCAGATTAAAAATGCAGTAACAATACACACACCATATTCAGGTCACCCAGTAAAATTTTATCTGGATCTTGAATATGAGCCTTTTCTCTTTACACCTCACATCTGCCAATCTCTCCTAGCGGCACCGGAAGGAGATGGCCTGGTTTGCTGGGATTTAAAGATTGTGGTCTAGTCAATGTTTTTCAACCGGTCCTCTTTGCCAGAGATAACAGGTTTCTGTGGATGGGGCTCTTCATTATCAGAAGCAGAGGCAGATGGGTGGTTGGGGTGTCTGGAAAACATAGTGGAACTTTTTAGCGCATGGGGAAATAGCCACTGTCATTGCTTTCCTACTTTTTCAAGCTCTTGTGGGGACATGACCCCGGGGGGGGGGCAAAGACAGAGGCAGCCCTTTCTGCACCCACAGCTGAGAAGGGCAACCTCAGGTTCCAGCATAACCACCCCTTCACTGCTGCACATCTTGGCCACCCTTTCTGTGCCATCCCCTCTGCTCTTGGTGTCACCGTAGCAAGCAGCAGTGGTGGGCACAGCTTTTCATTTGTCATGTTCTTTTGATATCAAAAGCATGAAACCAAAACAACCTTTTAGTGGCCAGAGCAAGTGCTTCCCCTTCTTTTTCTCTCTCTCAAGTGACAGTGCGGTGGAGCTACCTCGTCGAGTGTACTGGAGCATTTTTGCTCTTGGGAGCTGGAAATATGATAAACATTCTTAAAATCAGTAGAGGACCTTCTTGAATGGGTGCTTGGTTTCATTGTTTCCATTGTGCCTTCTATCTTTGAGCAATGCAACTGTAGTGGATTAGAGCCTGGTACTTTTGAGGAATGTTTTGAGTTGTTGTCTTTCAAATTGAGAAGCAGGCATAATCAATAAGTTCTGTGACCTATTCTTTACTTGTGGTTTGGGAAGAAGAGGTTTGTGAACTGGAGGCTGTCCTTGTGCCATGTTGCTGCGAGGTGTTCTGTGAGTGTAATTGACAGCAGTGTGATAACAAGCAGCTACTGTACTCAAGTTTATCAGCTCTTCAGTCCTTTGTGGGCTCCTAGTAGTTGTGGTTCCCAGCACTTTGGGCTGGACTTGCTTATGGCTGGCTGATGAATGTCTGCAGTTGTAATTTGCTTGAGAGTATTTCCTGCGGACTGGTGAGTGTCTATGAATAGACTTCAGGGCTCTTTCACAGAGAGACCCATATGTGGGCTGGGCATGAAAATGGCCAGGCATATTCTCCTTAACTCGCTTCATTGGGGGGGGGGGCAGGCTGTTTTTCTTAGCCTCTCAATCTGTTCCATTACCTTTGGTTCACAGAAGTGCTTCCTGGTTCATAAGTTTACACAAGCATGTCTTCTGCTGATTTTTAACAAGCAAATGTCTGCTTTCCCATTTTCTGTACCCTAGAGGGAACATTACACAGCTGAGGAAGTGGGGTAAGATTGTAACACATTTTTTCCTGCTGGATCCACCTATATAGGTGGTAGGAGGGACTGTAAAGGGCACAAGCCTGTGAGGTGGTTGGGGAAAGGCTATTGTTTCTGCTGGCCAAAACTTTTCACCAGTTTCTCCCTCCTGCAAGCTACATATCAGATTTTTCCAAACCAGAGGCTGAGGCAGAGCATGCCAGTCTGGGGACTGTTGCTAGAAGACACCTCAGGCTGGGTTGTGTCACTCTTTTGTCAGAGACTGACTGATAGCATGTGAGTGCTGTTCCATACATTGCTCAGAAATGCCTTCAAGCAGTGGTACCTCCCCTGTTTCATATTCCAGAGCCAGTAAAGGCACAGCAGCTGGATAGGTGTCACACTTTATAGTCAGCATTTAGGGTGTGTTGGCCTCAGCACCCTGAAAATTGCTGGCTGTCTCTTCATCTTTGGAGCTGGAAAGGGGGTGGATCACTGAGCAACTGCCAAGTCAGTCATCTTTTCCTTCTAGGTTAGAAGGAAGTCTGTCTGTCTCTCACACATACTGTAGAGTCATAGAATTGTAGGGCTGGAAGGACCAAGGCCAGTCCCTTCCAGAGGAAGAGAAGCAGTCCTGGGATTTAGCTATCTCACTCTGTTTGACAAACTTCCATGAAGGAGAGCCACTCTCTGGGGCAACCCATTCCATTGAGCGACAGCCTTCCTGCCAGGAAGTCAGAATCTCCATTCTGGTAATTGGAGTCTATCATTTCAGGGCCTCTTCTCTGAAATAACAGAAAACAAGCTTATTCTTTCTTCGTAGGGAAACCTAACTGTTTAACTATCTCTTCCAGGACTTTCCATGGCACTTGTTGCCATGGTGAATTTGGCAAGGTGAGACTGGGAGTAAGCATTTGCCGTTAGTGGACTTGTGGTTGATCTTTCGGGTTGCAGGCTTTAAAGTGGCACAACACTTGACAGATCTGATTTCTTTTGTGGCATTTCAGTGGTGCCTTATTACCGTAGCCTTGATTGAGTGCTATTGAGATGTATGAGTTGAAGATACTTTCACATGCCTTTTTTTTCCATTTTAAATTTTCTGTTTTCTTGAGCATCAACATACTGTGTACTCTGATAGGGTTTTTATTTGGGCAGGAGAACTACCCACTGCCTGCCTTCTGTGGCCCCTGCCCTTAAAATCATGTGTGGCAAGTCAAACCTGCAGAGGACCTTCTGCAATCTGTTCATCCCATCAGTCCTTTTTATTTCTCACCTCCTTCCCCTGCTCCCTGCAGTCATCCTTCCTGTTTCCTTCAAACTTTGCTACCCTTGTTTGACAATCTAGCAAGACTGGTCCTGTCCTCCTCCTTCCAGCTGCTGGCTGAGAAAAGGGGGTGCAAGAGCCAGGGTGCTCCAGCCTTGGGAGAAGTAGGAAGCCAAGAATTACAAAGGAAATTCCATTTATCTTGTGACTGCCTTACCTTTGTGCATTTGATGAATCTATAGCCGCTGCAATCTATAGTCTCTTGGCATGATCACTTCCGAATCTAGACAGCATTGTGCTTTTCCTCTTGATACATGTGTCTTCATTAGCAGCGGTAGTGAGAAGATTCCACACAATCCTGGCAAAACCAGGGGCCAGTAAGCTATGGATTTTGGCCAAAATCACACCCAGCTTTCTTCATCACTTTCAATAGTGTATTTGTATGTATGTGTGGGTCCAGGTTTATGTAGTAAAATTAAGTTTGGCTTACCATGTATAGGACTTAGAAATATCCATGTTGATCCTACCATTCTGAGAACAGTGCAATGTAGATAAGCATCTAAATCCAGATGCTTGATTTCTCACAGAATCATCTCAACTTTATTGGGAATTTACACTGACAGCGGTAGAAATGTGCCCGGGTCGCAATGTGTCTTTTAATCTTACTTAATGGTGGCTAGTCATATGTCCTTTTTCGGAAGCATAGCAAACCAGTTAAAAGTAAAAAGTAAGGAAATTATTAATAACCAGACTACTGAACCAGTAAAACAATGAGAGCAATGAAGAGGAAGGGAGAAAAGCCACAAATACCAGGTCTAGCACCGGTGGAAGCAATTAAGAAGTAGCGGGAAGAGAACAGAATTGACAGTTGCTCAGCAACACCACCTGGCCAGAAGGACTGGGTTTCATTCAGAGGATTAAACATAAATAATGCATCTTGGCCCTTTGCTCAGTAGGGTTTTCCTGAAGTGAGGTGCCACCACCAAGAAGGCCAAACTCCATTTGCTGCTGTTTGTTCAGTTCAGGTGCGTGATTTTGAGTGATGAGTGGCATGTATGAAGGAGAAGCTGCTCCTTTTAGCATATCAGAATCCCAGGCTCTTTAGGGCTCTGTGCTTTCCAGGAGATGTCCCACAGGACAGGGATTCCCACCCTTTTCTGACTCATGGCTCTGTTGAGCAATGGCGGTGGGCCACAGAATCGGCAGAAGAGCAGGAGGAATGGTGAGGGGTGTGCGGAGCAGGAAGACAAGAAGCGCGAAGGAGATGCAACAGGAGCTGGAAGAGCAGCTGTTGCAGCAGCTGCGGTAGCCGTGGTGTCTTGGCAAAGAATTGGAGAGAAAATTCCGCTGCCCTGCTAGTGTGCCATGGTGTGTGCTCTGCCATAGAGAACACGTGTGAATGCTCATGTCATAGAGCAAAGGGCTGTTGTCAGGGATGGTGCTTCGAGATTTTTTTATTCGGACTCTGGCTCCTGGAATTTGCCAATACATAATTTCCCCAGGCAAAATTCCTTTGGGAGATGCAGCCAAAAACACAGAGTTCGGGAGATCAGCTTTCCTTACCTACATCCAGTGTTGCCTCTAAGCTGTGCTTGCTCACCCAGAGCTCCATCCGGGCTGTGCACAGGCAGCCAGCAGCCAGTTTGTTTCGTTCCTATTTTGAATGAAGCCCTGCCCATCCCTGTATGTATGGTGGTACCGTGAAGCAGGACAGAGAGTGAGAGGGAGCGTTGCCTACATTAATGGCCCCATTATCATGAATCTTCTTTCTAAAGCAAAGCAATTGTTCCAGGTGCTTCCTGTGAGCTATAAGGTTTCATGGAAGAAGCAGTTTCTCTGCCCATTAGGCTCTGTAGAGGATGCCTCCCAAAGAACTACCCCTCCCGTGGTGCCTTGTGTTTCCTAGTCCTAGGAGGATCTGCCATCCCCCACTCGCTCAAAAAAAAAAGAGCTTTCCTTCAGAACACGGCCAAGAAGCTCGAAAAACCCACAACAACCCTTTCATGAAGTGTCAGAGTCTGCTTAGTTGAGGACTTCATTCCCATCCCACCCCCTTGTGTGTGTGACTGAAGCACCCCTTGCTCACTCTCTTTCCCTTTGTACCCAAATTGATTGCACAGCCTGCCTTCCCATCCCCTAGAGTCTCTTCTCCAGGAGGTCACCTGGGCTCAAAGGGACTGGCTTCTTTGCTGCCCAGCTGTTTCTGGCTGTTGCCTCTCTATTTGAGGGTCAGTGGACAGTAAGGCCATGTTTCAGAGTGTCGTGTGATCACTTGGCCAGCCATTGGTTTAGGCATTTCTTGGAGTAATGGCATTTATTGCTGCTTCAGTGGAGCTCTGATTATTTCCAGATGGAGTGCCTTTTTCCATCTAAGCCTTTACCTGGTGTAGGACGGAAGAGCCTGCCCAAGGTCCCAAGGGGTGTGGCTCTGTGCTTGGTCTAATGTCTGGGTCTCCGAAATCGTGCCCTTTGGTTTCAATCGGCAGATGAGAATACCATTCTCCAAATATCAATTTGGACCTTGAGCTTGCTTGCCAAATCCAAGATCTGAGAGTCAAACTTGAAAAATCATTATATTTTGCAACTCGATGGATCAGCTGTGCGATCTCTAGGATTTTCCAGCATTTACGCAGCAGGGCAGGGTGTTGACGGAGCACTCCACGGCTTCCTTGGCCAGGCAACCTTTGAGCAGTGCAAGATGGAGTGAAAGGAGATCTTAGGTAGCCAGTGAACCCTCCCCCTGTGTGTGGGTGGTCCACCATGTCACTACCTTTTCCCTTGAACTAGCAAACTTAATTTGGTTGCAGCGCTGTGATCTGTTGGCAGCCTGTCTGGTTTGGTTCCCACCTAATATTGGTATCAGCTGTGTTTGTTCTCCCACCATATGGAATTGTCTTAACAGGAAGATGACTCAGTGGCAGAGCTTTTCCCTGCCATGAAAGAAAATCCAGTTGTAAAACAGTCTTTCGCTTCTCTTATATCACTCTGCCAGATTGAAAATATTTCCCTCCCTTTTTTTTCCTGTAGACACCATTACTTTTGAACAATAAAATACTTGCTCTGTGAGCCAGAAAAGTAATGACATCTTGCTTAGTAAAACAGTTGCATGGCTGTTTTTCATACCGAATCGTTGAACTTTTGCTCCTAGTTAGCTACTACTCTGGAGGCGAGTCCACGTTAGAGCCAGAATTATGGAAAGCTGGTTGCTCGGGTGTGCTGGGCCATTGGGAAACTTTTGGCTCAAGCAGGCCTGCAGAAGGGAGAAATGTGTGTGCGCGCACACACACACAAAGAATCTCTAAAGGAGAACCGCAATCTCTTGAGACTCCAGAGCATGCCTTCTTGATTTTCTTTAACCCAAAGAGGTGTTGTGGTTACTAGAAGCATTAAAAGGAAGACAGTAAGAATAGAATGCTACTTTAAACCTGGTCACATGAATTAGAGGTTTGCTATCTGAATGCTTCTTGGCACCTCAGTCACAAATGCTGTCTCTTGTGCTCCATCTTGCTTGCACTCACACACGTGCACAAAAGGGTAAAAGAGTGAGAGAGCACCCTTTCTGCACAGAGACTCGTTGTGCATTCCCTGTAGGATGATTGTCTCCCGCTGAGCTGCTGGGCTGACCTTTCCCTGAGAGGGGTACAATAAATAAAACTGGGATCTCGACATGAGCTCTTCCCACGGGATTGCTTGAGCAGAATGGACATGACAGGGGAGTCCTGGGAACCCTGGCCATTGAAGTGTCTCACGCATACCTTTCTTTAATCAGCCATGCAGTGGAGAAGCATGGAGCTTATTTATACAGCTGAAGTTCGGAGGGTGCTTGCAGTCTAGGATATTTTCACCTCCGAGACCAGTTAAGGGATTTCGGGACATTTCAGCTACACAACCATGATCCAGTTCTTTCCCATCCCTCCCCCTGTATGCTTAGTCTTAGCTTTAGAAAGAACTCTGTGGCAGAGGTAGGGGAATGTAGCCTACATCATCTCTGCCGTCGGCTTGGGCTTTCTCCCCAGTGGTCCTATTCAGCTGTTCACTTGGTCATGAAAGTGTTTTCCAGGTGGGTTGATACAGTTGAGGCATGTGGGGGCCAAGCAATTCGCACACATCTGTAGTTGCTCTCCTGTCAGACTGTATTGCCTAAAGGCTGATTCTTCAAAAGGCCTCATTAGTGGGCCACACATGTGATTGGGCTTCCATGGACGCCTTGTGTCGCACATTGCTAAAGCTGCTGCTTGGGGGGGGCGGAATTCCCTTATTGGCCTCCTGCTCTACTTTTCTCCCCCAAAGCAGCTCACAGGAGGCTTCGATAGAGGGATGCAGTCCAAGCCTGATTTGATCTAACCCCTGCTTGTTTTTCTTTGACCTCATGGTTCATAGTACCTGTAAAGGACTCAGTGCATACCCCATTTCAGATGAATGGATTCCTCTTGTCAGTTTCCTCCTTGTCCAGCTTTCATTTCTAGCGATCTGATGGTCTCTGTATGGAGGATGCCACATGGCAGCTAGTAGTTAGATTCTGCCAGAGTGCGTTAGGAATGGTTGCTAGGAGGCGTGCAAAAGGTCAACGCCCTCTACCCAGCCACAAGGACCTGGGAGCACTACACACAAAAGACCAGCTAATGACACCCATCAATCACAGTGACAGATAATCTCTTCTCCTTATCACAACAATACACCCACAACAAGACACACTAATCACCCATCTCCTGAATATCCTGAAATCCTGTCTCACAGCCATGAATACTCCACTCCCAATCAAACTACACAGAGTGCTGTCCTCTGAAGATGTCTGCCAGCCACAGAGACTGTCGAATGTTAGGAAGAACAACCTTCAGAACACGGCCAAAGAGCCGGAGAAAAACCCACAGCAACCATCACTTCTTTAATCATTTGAGTTCCCCTCACCCACTCCCACCCCCTTTCTCTCTTTCTAGTAGCTTAAGAGACAGCCTAGATGTCCTGCAAGGTTTCCTATTTTCAGGACCAGTCGAATTGCCGAGATCTCTCTCTCTCATCTTCCTCTCTTTCTGCTTTTGCTGCAGGGTGGAACCAGCTTCCACGTTTTTGACCAAGGACAATTTGCCAAGGAGGTGCTTCCCAAATACTTCAAACACAACAACATGGCCAGCTTCGTGCGGCAGCTGAACATGTGTAAGTATCTTCCCTGCAGGGGCCTGGATTTTCTATTCCTGTCTCAGAAGTTCCTGGAGAGCGTTGTGGCTTGCTAGGAGGCAGGAAGAAGATTGGTTTCATCAGAACGTGAGGTTTGCGAGCTGCAGCTTTTCAGATTCCCTTGCAGCGCAGGAAAATAAAAACAGGAAAAAAGTTAATTGTCACTCTTAATATTCTCTCTTCAAAGGGCCTCTGAAACACGTGGAATGCACCTTTCAGGGCAGCGTAGTAGCAGCAGCAGCCCTTAAGGGCCTAGCTTATCAGCTTATCTGATTTTTTAGACTAAGGTGTGATCTAATTTCTCCAGCCTTATTTTGGCATGAGAAAAATGGGTGCATCCCAACTAATAATTATAGTCGCACCTAAAGATGACACCCTTCTGGATCCGTTCCAGTCAGGCTTCAGACCGCGCCATGGGCCGAAAATGGCATTGGTCGCCCTGTTTGATGACGTATTGAGGGAGGCTGACGGGCAAAATGTCCTTGTTGGTGGTCCTCGATATCTCAGCCACCTTTGATACTGTCGACCACAGTATCCTCCTGAGGAGGCTCTCCAAGTTGGGAATTAGTGGTCTTGCTTTTGCTTGACTCCAGTCCTTTTTTGTAGGGCTATCCTCAGAGAGTCCAGCTTGGGAAGAATGTATTGGCCCCATGGTCCCTCAGTTGTGGGGTCCCGTAGGGTTCAATCATCTCCCCAATGTTTAATATCTATATATTAGTAGACTGTGATCTAGTTTGATATCTATATATTAGTAGACTGTGATCTAGGTGGGCGGGGTATAAATTGAATGAATGAATGAATAAATAAATAAATAAATAAATAAATGAGGCCGCTGGGACGGGTCATCCGGGGGTGTGGAGCCTCGTGTCACCGGGACACGGATGACACTTCGCTCTGCATCTCCTTTTTCCCATCTCCGGTGGATGCCGTTCCATCTCTTGAGCGCTACCTGGGGGCCGTTCTGCAATGGATGCAGTTGAATGGACTGAGGCTGAACCCGGACAAGATGGAGGTCTTGCGGGTCGGCGCCCCTGATGTCAGTGGTTTGGGAAACTCCCTCTCCTTTGGGTGGGTGGGAGCTCTCACCAGAAAGAATGTGGTTTGCAGTCAGGGGGTCCGTCTTGACCCGGTGCTTGCCATGGAGATCCAGGTAATGTCCATGGTTCGGTCCGCCCATTTACATCTTCAGCGGATCACCCAGCTGTGTCCCTGTCTACACGCAGGGGCCCTCACCATACTTGTCCATGCGCTCGTAGTCTCAAGAATAGACTACTGTAATGCTCTCTATATGGGGCTTCCTTTGAGAATGATGCAGACGCTTCAAATGGTCCAGAACATGGTGGCCAGGCTGTTAACAAGAGTGAAAAGATTTCATCCTATCTCCCCCATCTTGGCCGTCTTATACTGGTTACCTACTCGCGTCTGCATCGATTTCAAGGTGCTGACTATTACATACAAAGCCATAAATGGTTTTGGGTCTCGATACTTGGCAGAACGCCTTCTTCCACCTAGTTCTGCCCATTCCAGCCAGGCTGGGCGGTTGAGGGGCCTAACTCTGAGAGAAGGCCTGAAGGGAAAAAACTAAAAACCAGGCCTTCTCAGCAGCAGCCCCTCGTCTCTGTAACAACTTACCTGTAGAGATCCACCTGGCCCCCTCATTGAGGGCCTTCAGGAGCAAACTAAAGACCTGGTTCTACAAGCAGGCCTTCCCAACAGCCATTACTTAGCTTTACCTCTTCCTTTTCCCCATCTTGGACTCTTGTAGTAAAATTGGGCTTCATTTTTCAAATGCATTTATGTTTTCATTTATTATATCTGTATATTTGGTTTTTTGCATTTTGTGTAAACTGCCCGGAGTAGATATGTTCTAGATGGGTGGTATAGAAGTCTGGTAAAATAAATAAAAAGAAATAAACAGATTTATAAACAGGCTTTGCTCTGATGGTACTCCCTGTTGAAAGTGCTAGTTTTTACCTTGGAGAGTAATAAATGGGTTAGGATCAGAGTATCTGAAAAGCTGCATCTCGGGTGTGAACCTTCCTGCCAGTTTCTTTGGGGGTCCTTGGGGGGATGAACCTTCGCTTCCTCCTGGTGGCACTCAAGGAGAGGACCTTTTCCACAACGATGGTGGGGCTTCCTACTGTGGGAGGTCTGCTTTGCCACCTCCTTGATGGCCACTAAAGACATTTGTTTCAAAGAGGCTTGGGGCTCAGTGGACTGAGAAGGGGACAACAGAGGACGAGATGGCTGGACAGTGTCACTGAAGGGACCAACATGAACTTGACCCAACTCCGGGAGGCAGTGGAAGACAGGAGGGCCTGGCGTGCTCTGGTCCATTGGGGTCACGAAGAGTCGGACACGACTTAACAACTAAACAACAAAAATGTAAAAAACAATTGTGTTTTGAATGGAATACTTCATTCTCTGAGCTGCCTCAGACCCTGTTGCGTGAAGGAAGGACAGAGTATCAGCGCTTTCTGGGAACAGGTTTTCCCCGACACGTACCATTCAGGATTCTGTTTCACTTGCTGGCTCACAGCAGCGTTGGTTCCTCTTGCCCTCTTCTATTCCCCCTCCCTCAAAATATTATGTGGAGGATGATCTCCAGCCTCATTCATCTTGGCTAACCTGCTGCCTTAACATCTTTTATAGATCCTGTGTCTCTTACAACGTCAGCATGGTTTGAATTATCATTTGTGTTGATCTACAGTTGGGCTGCTTAATATATTTTGATCATCTCCTCCTTTAACTGGGCAGATTTCCATAATTTGAAGAAAAGTTAGAGCCCAGGGCCTGGTGGCTGAAGAGATACAGCAAGCCGACAGATCCCAGGAAGTCTGTCAGGGACAGTGCATTTCTCTATTCAAGAAGCGCCTCTCTAAGGAAGAAGCAGGCCCATGGAAGAGAAGGATAGGGATTGGTACAGCTATTGAAATTTGAGCACAAAGAAAAAAAGGGGGAGGGGGACAGATGGTATTCTCCCTTTTACAAGATAAGGAAGTGGTGGCCATCCAGAGGTTGGTTGCTGGGCATCAATCCCAGCCTTCCTCCCTATTAGCTGTGCAGGGCGTGTGTATGTGTGTAGGTTCTGACAACATCTGGAGAGCCACCTGTTACCTACCCCAGGCAAAACTGCCCCTTGTTTCTGAATGTCAGCTGTGCCCAGCTTGATACTGTATTAGGGAACACAGAAGTCAAGGTTATGGGAACAGCAATTGTGTCAAGCAAGGTGGTGACTGTGCTTTCTTTGAGAAGGTGGTGTGTAGAAATTCTCTGCTTATCCCATTTGGGAAATGAGATTAATCACTTCTAGAAGTAGAATGATGTGGGAAAGCTGGCTCATAAGTATTGTGGTGCTAAGTTAAATTGCTGTATTCACAAACATATTAGCTTCTGTTTGTGAAACTGGAAGAGGACAGGACTTTGCAGGTCTTGATGGCTCTGGAGGCTCACCCTGCCGGTGAAATGCAGGTTAACTTCTCCAGGGTTCCCCTGACCTCCTTGCCAATATGATCTGTCCCTTTGCCTTTTAGATGGCTTTCGAAAGGTTGTTCATATCGAGCAGGGTGGTCTGCTTAAGCCAGACAAGGATGATACAGAATTCCAGCACCCCTACTTCCTCCGTGGCCAGGAGCATCTTCTGGAAAACATCAAAAGAAAAGTCACCACGGTAAGTCTACCTTAACAATGGCTGGCTGTGAGGGGAGGGAAGCCACCTAGTCTTTTTCAGCTAGGTCCTTTTAGCATGTCATGGTGTGTGCATGTGTACGTGTGTCTGATCGTCATCAGGCTTGATTAGGCAGCTATTCAGTTTGTCTCTCTTTCAATGGCTTTTTTGCAGAAGGAAGAGAAATATGGCCGCAGAGAGCCATCCTTTCTTGTAGTATTGGGTCTCCTCCCTAGTAAAAAGTTAGGAGGCCGAGTCTCCTCCTCTCTTCTGAGGTCGTGTTTTAGGCCTTTTTGCTACCCCTGGGCTGCTTTGTGCAGACGGCTGCCCTTCAGAACCCCCTATGTTCCCCAATCCCTGCACGCTGTGGAATTGGCCAGCTCTCCTGGTGGCTCTGCTCTTGTGGTCTGCATCTAGGATGCAGGTTGCCCAATTCTAGTTTTATAAGAGTGTAACACTCTTTTCCCAAAACAACTTAATGAAAGAAAGAGACAGCTAACTGGGAGGAAGGACAGGCACAGCTGTGCAGAACATTTCTCCTTCCTCCCCACCCCACACTGGTGCCCTGAATACAGTGCAAAGTTCTCGTCACTGCAACTCAAGCAAGACAAGAGACACAGCAGAGCTGGAGTGGGTGTCGAAAAAGGCAACTTTGAATAATCAGGGGTCAGGAGCATGAATAAAGTTTGCAATGTTTGAGGCTCTTTTGCTTAGGGGAATAAGTCACATGGGATATGATAGAGGGATATAAAATTGGGTATGTCGTGGAGACCCCTCAGCCCTGAGGAATGCTGGCACCATTTTTGGGTTGTGAAGAGACCGTTGCCCATGGTCTGTGATGCTTCATCAGCATTTTTTTTCATGTGGGAAGTCTTGGATCACAGTGAGTGATGAATCCCCCTGCTTGCAGATGTCCGGCATAAAAAATGAAGATATTAAAGTCCGCCAGGACAGCGTGACGAGGCTGTTGACAGATGTCCAGATGATGAAAGGCAAGCAGGAGACCATGGACTCCAAGCTGCTAGCAATGAAGCAGTATGTATGAAGAGGGGTGGGCGGAAAGGGAAGAGAGAGAGCTCTCCCTGTGTTCAACTTGTCGATGGTGTGTGTACAGTATGGGGTTGTTTATGTGTGTATAATCTCCTTTGTGCCAGACTCTGCTCCCCTCTGCTGGCATGTATCCTGCCAGCCCTCTCAGTGCTGCAGGATATGAAGTGCTGGCCCCCGGGAAGCTGCTGGGTGGCTGATCTGCATCCTGATCTCTTCTCCTCAGCTTCTTCTCTCTCTCTCTCTCT